GAGCTGCTCATAATTGGGTAACACAGATCTAAGCAGGATGAAATGCATTGTTTAAAAGGCCAGCAGTGTTTGTGGGTGAGTTGTCCAAAGTGCAATGAGTGTTTGCTATATCTTTCTAGAACAAGGGTGTACACCTTTCTACTGTGTTTGAGCAGTGACTCACTTCTCTAGTGAATTCTTTTATGAGGAAAATAATTATGTGCTTATTTTTACTAGGGGCAAATCTTGATTTTTTTTTTTATTATACTTTAAGTTCTGAGACACATGTGGAGAATGTGCAGGTTTGTTACATACTTATATATGTGCCATGGTGGTTTGCTGCACCCATCGATCTGTCATCTACATTAGGTGTTTCTCCTAATGTTTTCCCTGCCCTAGCCTCCCACCCCAGTGAGAGGCCTGATGTGTGATGTTCCCCTCCCCGTGTCCATGTGTTCTCATTGTTCAGCTCCCACTTATGAGTGAGATTATGTAGTGTTTGGTTTTCTGTTTCTGTGTTTGCTGAGAATGATGGTTCCCAGTTTCATCCATGTTCCTGCAAAGGACAATAACTCAAACTTTTTATGGCTGCATAGTATTCCAAGGTGTATATGTGCCACATTTTCTTTATCCAGTCTATCATTGATGGGCATTTGGGTTGGTTCCAAGTCTTTGCTGTTGTGAAAAGTGCTGCAATAAACATACATTTGCATGTGTCTTTATAGTAGAATGATTTATAATCTTTTGGGTATATACCCAGTAATGGGATTGCTGGGTCAAATGGTATTTCTGGTTCTCAATCCTTGAGGAATCACCACACTGTCTTCCACAATGGTTGAACTGGTTTACAGTCCCACCAACAGTGTAAAAGCATTCCTATTTCTCCACATCCTCTCCAGCATCTGTTGTTTCCTGACTTTTTAATGATTGCCATTCTAACTGGCATGAGATGGTATCTCATTGTGGGTTTGATTTGCATTTCTCTAATGACCAGTAATGATGAGCTTTTTTTCATATGTCTTCTTTTAAGAAGTATCTGTTCGTGTCCTTCACCCACTTATTGATGGGGCTTTTTTTCTTGTAAATTTAAGTTCCTTGTAGATTATGGATATTAGCCCTTTGTCAGATGGGTAGATTGCAAAAATTTTCTCCCATTCTGTAGGTTGCCTATCCACTCTAATGAGTTTCTTTTGCTGTGCAGAAGTTCTTTAGTTTAATTAGAACCCATTGGTTAATTCTGGCTTTTGTTACCATTACTTTTGGTGTTTTAGTCATGAAGTCTTTGCCCATACCTATGTCTTGAATGGTATCGCCTAGGTTTTCTTGTAGGGTTTTTATGGTGTTAGGTTTACATTAAAGTCTTTAATCCATTTTGAGTTAATTTTTGTATAAGGTATAAGGAAGGGGTCCAATTTTATTTTTCTGCATATGGCTAACCAGTTTTCCCAACACCCACGTTTAAAATAGGGAATCCTTTCCCCATTGCTTGTTTCTGTCAGGTTTGTCAAAGATCAGATGGTTGTAGATGTGTAGCATTATTTCTGAGGCCTTTGTTCTGTTCCATTAGTCTATATATTTGTTTTGGTACAAATACCATGCCGTTTTGGTTACTGGAGGTTTGTAGAATAGTTTGAATTCAGGTAGCATGATGCCTCCAGTTTTTTCCTTTTTACTTAGGATTTTCTTGGTTATATGGGCTATTTTTTGGTTCCATATGAACTTTAAAGTAGTTTTTCCCAGTTCTGTGAAGAAAGTCAGTGGTAGCTTGATGGGAATAGCCTTGAATCTATAAATTACTTTGGGCAGTATGGCCACTTTCACGATATTGATTCTTCCTATCCACGAGCATGGAATGTTTTTCCATTTGTTTGTGTCCTCTCTGATTTCCTTGAGTAGTGGTTTGTAGTTCTGCTTGAAGAAGTCCTTCACATCCCTTGTAAGTTGGATTCCTAGGTATTTTATTCTCTTTGTAGCAATTGTGAATGGAAGTTCACTCATAAGTTGGCTCTCTGTCTATTATTGATGTATTGTAATGCTTGTGATTTTTGCACGTTGATTTTGTATCTTGAGACTTTGCTGAAGTTGCTTATCAGCTTAAGGAGATTTTGGGCTGAAACCATCGGGTTTTCTAAATGTACAATTACGTCATCGCAAACAGAGACAATTTGACGCCCTCTCTACCTATTTGAATGCCTTTTATTTTTCTTTTGCTTGATTGCTGTGGCCCAAACTTCCAATACTATGTTGCATAGTAGTGGTAAGAAAGGGTATCCTTGTCTTGTGCCTATTTTCAAAGGGAATGGTTCCAGCTTTTGCCTATTCAGTATGATATTGGCTGTGAGTTTGTCATAAACAGCTTTATTATTTTGAGAAATATTCCATCAATAAATAGTTTATTGAGAGTTTTTAGCATAAAGGGTGTTGAATTTTATCAAAGGCCTTTTCTGCATCTGTTGAGATAATCATGTGGTTTTTGTTATTGTTCTATATGATGGATTATGTTTATTGATTTGTGTATGTTGAACTAGCCTTGCATCCCAGGGATGACACCGACTTGATCATGGTGGATAAGCTTTCTAATGTGCTGCTGAATTTGGTTTGCCAATATTGTGTTGAGGATTTTCACATCAGTGTTCATTAAGGATATTGGCCTGAAATTTTTGTTATTGTTGTCTCTCTGCCAGGTTTTGGTATCAGGATGATGCTGGCTTCATAAAATGAGTTAGGAAGGGGTCCCTCTTTTTCTATTGTTTGGAATAGTTTCTGAAGGAATGGCACCAGCTCCTCTTTGTACCTCTGGTAGAATTTGGCTATGAATCTGTCTAGTCTTGGGATTTTTTTTGGTTGGTATGCTATTAATTACTGCCTCAATTTCAGAACTTGTTATTGGATATAATAGACATTTACAGAACTCTCCACCCCAAATCAACAGAATATACATTCTTCTCAGCATCACATTGCACTTACTCTAAAATTGACCACATAATTGGAAGTAAAACACTTCTCAGCAAATGCAAAATAATGGAAATCATAAAAAACAGTCTCTCAGACCACAGTGCAATCAAGTTAGAACTCAGGATTAAGAAAGTCACTCAAAACCGCACAACTACATGGAAACTGAACAACCTGTTCCTGAATAACTGACTACTGGGTGACTAACAAAATTAAGGCAGAAATAAATAAGTTCTTTGAAACCAATGAGAACAAAGGCACAACGTATCAAAATCTCTGGGACACAGCTAAAGCAGTGTTTAGAGGGAAATTTATAGAACTAAATGCCAACAGGAGAAAGCAGGAAAGATCTAAAATCGACACCCTAACATCATAATTCAAAGAACTAGAGAAGCAAGAGCAAGCAAATTCAAAAGCTAGCAGAAGATAAGAAATAACTAACATCAGAGCAGAATTGAAGGAGATAGAGACATGAAAAACCCATCAAAAAGTCCAGGAATCCAGGAGTTGGTATTTTGAAAAGATCAACAAAATTGATTTTTATATATCTGTTTTGATTGCCCTATATCTGTAGTTATCTGCAGAATTGTACTGTGGCTGCCGTAAGTCACCTCCTCAATACTAATGCCTATGTGGACATTTGTGAATTGAAAAACAAAACAGTGAATACTAAATGTGTAAGGCAAGTTGCTGTATCCAGCATCTCTGTTAATTAATCCTCATCATTAACTTTGGAATGTAGTACAGATAAGTTGTTTGAGCCCTGCTATAACAAGACCATTGTGGATGAATTTCCATTCAATACATGAGCAATGCACAGAAATTGGAGAAAACATTGCATTGGCCGTTTCAATCAGCAGGCTAACGGCATTAATTTCTTTTATATGTGAGCTGATTTTGGTAAATTGCTTAGCTTCCTTGGACCTCAGTGTTATCATTGGGAAGTGGAAGTAAAAATGACTGTTTTTCATCCTTCACAGAGTTTATCAGAATCAAATGAAAAATGATATGTGAAGGCATTTTTAAAGCACAAAGTGCTTCACAAATTTGAGTTTTCATAATAATTTTAATTAAGTTTGTGGTGTCTTCAAAATTTCTTTCAGGCAAGGTTGCAGGATATACCTTATTTGTTGAAGTTCTGGTATCTTCTCTTAGAAGCATCACAGAAAACATGAGTCATTGAAACAACTATTATAACATTCACAGTAAATAATAATAGCACTTACAGTACACACAATAAATACTCACACTTTGGGAGCTTAGAACAAATCAGAACATGGATCCTTAACATGAAGCTGCCCATAGGCAACATTTGCTGCATGTCTCTCCTTCCTCTCTTCTTATATATGAGTTTTTTTCAGGTGTTTCTAGATTTTCATTCCTCATAATCTGGGATGGTTTTCTATCCAAGGAAACTGGCTTTGATATGATGCCCTGCTTTGTAATTTGCATTAAGCTTTCTGCCTTTAAATATCATGTGCTATCATCTCAAAAGAGTTTAACTAGTAACCTGATAAATGTCAAACATATAACTAATTCCTATTAAGCTGAATTGAATAAGGTATTAATGGGATATCTTGACTTTGATGTCATCATATCCTAATGACATTGTATTTGGTTAGAACCTTCTGAACCTTCCTCCAGAAGACATGAAATGATCACAATTTTAGCTAGAAGACTTTTGACCTCTAATCTTTAATTTTAATTTTTAACCCATATGACTTAAAATTTGGGTTAAAAATTAATTAGTTGCCAACATTTTAAAATATGAACATATGTTACAAACTCCCAGCTTTCTGACTTCTCTTGAAATGTAACAAGATTGGGTCCTTCCTAGCACTAGTAGCAGCCACTGAGGAGCAGCTGGCTCCTTTGGAAGGGCAAGCTGTGCTCAGTGCACTAGGGTCCCCACCTGTTCCACTTCATTTATATATGTCATCTGTCTGGCCGCTGTAGGATCTGAGTTTATGGCCCTTGTTGAACCCACAGAAATAACCTAATTAAATCCTATCTCATAACCAGTTAGTCATGGGTGAAATAATGAACAGATGGTTTAAGGTGAACATATGTTGTTGATCTGTTTCTCTTATTTCATTAACCATTTTGCCAGCATTTGAAACAGTCTAATCATATGTCACAAACCAGAACTGGAGTAGCAGTTTATAGGGTGATGATCTGCAGCATCTTTGAACTGTTTATTTTTAAATTCCTAGTGAAAGCTGCTTTGAGGTTTGATCTACAGTTCAAGGTAGAATTTTACCAGCTCAGTAAATGTGAGTTCTAGGCATGTTCCAAATTCTGTACCTCACACGTTTCTGTGATTTCAGAATATTAGAAGGGACATCTCCAGTAGGATTTTTAGCACATATATTTATGAAGAGTAAAAGGCCTCCCATGAAATGTCACCATGAGTGATATGTTAGAGGCAAGGACGATGGGGCCTGGAAATGATGTTGGTAGCACTTTGAAGCTTCCAGAATTTTCTTAAGGCTTCACAAACTCCTTCCCTCACTCCCCATGCCTAAGGTGAATAAAATTGAGGCAGGTAAACCTAAGATAAATAAAAATGAAGTTAAGTTAATAGCAGTGGGTAATTTAGCAAGAGAACTATAACTAATATTGTTTGTGAACAATTTCCCATTTTTTTTCTTTTGATTTCAAGAGTTCCATTTTTCTTAAATCAGAGTGTGACTATATAGGGGCCTGAGATTAAGATGTGGGCCTACAGAAAGGGGTCCAAAGCACCTACTTGTTATATGTTAGTGAAATTGGTAGATCAGAAGCACAAAAACAGTATTCATCATTCCACATAGTCTGAAACAAGACACAAAGCTAGAAGTCCCCCATATAAAGGTTTGGGGTTAAAGCATTTCTCTATCTGTGCCAACAAGGAAAACTTCCAAGTATGGCCATAGCCATAGGGTGTGACTGGTAAAAGATCTGGGCATCTTGGATTCAAAGATCTTATTATTGTTCGCAGAAAGCCCTTCTACATGTCTGGCTTTGGGCCAGGGCAGGTTAGCCTAATCATCAACAACCTTCCTAATCATCACCAATAAACTGGGCAGTTATCCACTGAGATAGACACAGAGTGCTTTAGGGAGAAATGGTAGAGCAAACACGAAGAGAACAACTCATTTGACATCTAGACAACCATCCATCTTGTGCACAATTAGTAATTAAAATTCTCTCTCAAGACCCATGTAACCTGGTGAGCTACTGGGTCAATAACATACCATGTGTGAAAATATGAAAATCATCATAAAAGAGCATGATGATGGAGGCTCCATACCTTAGTTTAGCTTTCCTAGCTGTGTTGACTCAGATCAAATGTAGTATAATTAGGAAAAAAAAAGGATGGATAATAATAACTGTAATGATGGTCACAGGAAAATAGCAAATATGTAGGATGAGGGAAGTTACTTTTTCTTCTTGATGAACTCACAGACAAAGTACATGGTAAGATGGCACTCTGTGTCATTCCATCTGCCAGAGCTCAGCATCTCCACACAGTCCTCATGACCATAGGGGTCGCTGGGTTCCCCCTCATTCCAGTTGCTATAGTTCTGCAGTGGAGTGTTGTCTGTGAACACGTACTGTCCCTCCCTTTCAAGGTCATTCACGCCAATGAACACCCGAAAGAAGCCACTCTTGGCAACATAGTCAGCTATGAGTGTGTTGGCAGCTTCATCCTTGGGCATGGCTAGCATTCCACCCCGAATCCTGCAGTGGGTTAGGGATTCCCTGTAGTTCTTCTCTTCCTGCACGATGTAGTAGAATTTCTCTTCAGTTTCCCTAATCCCTGCTATCACTGCAGGGAGAGAAAAAAAGGAGTATCATTATGTATCACAAAAAGATAAAAGGCAATAGAATTATATGATATTGCCAGATTTACATTTATTTATTCAATATTCAAGAATTATTTTTCAAAGTCCTATTATGAGGTAGTCACAGATTTAATCACCCCCACCTCTAGTTATCAAATAGAGAACAAATATCTACCATTTGTTCTCCCTTCCTTTTCTCCTCAACTTCTCACACAGCTGGGCAGCACAAAGTTGACAAAGACGTGTTACGTGAACTTTCAGCCAGCCCATCTCATGCTATGTTTCCCAACATTGTTGATGCTTTAGCTCTACTTGGGACCATACAAGCAGACCCTTCTCTCTTGTACTTCCATGCCTTTTATGCCTAGAAAGTCTTTTCTACCTGGCAAACTTCTACTTATCCTTTAGATCTCAGTGGAAATGTATCCCCCTACAGGAAGTCTTTCCAATGCCCTTGTGTAGGACATGGCAGTCACTCTTCCCCGTGTTTCTATTGCCCCTTTCACTTCCTCCTTCTAGCACTCAACACATTTTAGTCTCATCGTTTGTCTGCATTTCTCTCCTACTTACCTGTGAATGTCTTAAGGACAATGACCATGTCTTTGACACTCTTTAGCTTCAGTGCCTGGAATACTTATAGAAATGGTAAATGCTTATTGAAATGATGTAGGAATAATACAGACGTTTGTCCACATTGGACCAAATTCCTGTGCTGTGAACATGTACATGAATTGGGTTTGTCCATATTTCATCCCAGGTACAAGAGGAAGACTGAGCTACTGAGTTAGCTTCAGGACAGAACTGGAGACTGAGAATCACCCTTCACTCATAACATGGCATGTATGTTTTGGGTGTCAGGGGCCTCTATATATGCATTTTAGGATCCGTAACTTTAATTCACAAAGAAATCTATGACCACTAAAATGTTCAGAACTATTGCTCTATGTTCTCCCTGTATGGTCTGGCTTATTCACAACAGTTTAAGTCATATCAGAGACAGAATCTTCAGTGCAGATTATAACTAGAGTTATAATTAGTATGGTTAGTTAATATCAAGTATTTCCTTTGCCTCTAGTGTTACAAGATGAGGATGAGCATGAGACAGCATCTATGTGATTCCAACAATGTACAACAAATATAGCTGAGTTACAATAAATGAAAGTATATGTAAAAGAAACCAATTTTAACTGTAATTGTAATAGTTACCTTATTAATACCATTTCAGAAGAAAATACATAAGCCCTTTCTACTTCAAGGGCTTTTCTGATAACTACTATTAAAAAAATGGACAACGGATAACAAAAATGACCAGTATTGGAAGTTGCAAAACTGATAAACACATAATGTTTGTATTGTGGATAGAGGAGTCAGAGAAGCTTGTAATACATTCCTACTCTACTGCTCATTAGGTCTGTATCATGGGCAAGGTACTTCCTCTAAGCTTTAGTTCGATCATAGTATCTACATACTACATAAACAACTATGAGAACTCAGTGAGATAATGCTAGTAGTTGTGCAGTATTCCATGCACTCAAGAAAGCAGCTATTGTTATTATTACCTCTGTTTTCTGAGATGCTAGTTCTGACTCTTACTGTCTCTTTTTATTCTTACAGCATAGCTTGCCACACTCTGCTCTTTTCTCCATTCCCCTCACCTAAGAAAGTCTTTCTCTTCCCATAGGCGATGCACATACATATAAATATATGTAGCGGACTTGAGGTGTCCTGGGGGAGTCTTAGTGGATAATTAGCAATTTGGAAGACCCTTAAGCTGGTGACACTATCTCAATAGCCCTTTGTCCAACTCAAGGTATTTCCACCTAAGAGTATTGGGATTGTAGTGCTGATAGAGATTTATCAATAGATACATAACACAAAAGAGAATATGTTCACCATTCTTGACAAATTTCATAGATGTCTTGAGCCGAGCAATACTAATATCCAGTTGTCCAACAAATTTCCGGTATCTTCCACAATCACAGACGGTACCTTTTAAATGACAAAAACTGTGAATTCATGTTGAAGTACATTCAGACCAGTGGAAAGGAACATTTGCTCTCTTTCCAATATTCACTATCGTTTTCTAGTCTGGTTCTACATATCTGTGAATGGCTATACTTTAAACCTTTTATTTAAAATAAGGTTTCCAATTTACATTATTGATAGAATTTCAGAAAATATCTTTGTAAATATTTTGAATGAACTATAAGACAAGTCTAAACTAGATTATTAAAAAGAAGAATACATACAACAAACCACTGTATACACATTTTGGACCATTTGGCATTTTCCTTGTTGAACACAGAATGTGTCTGCCCAATCTCAGAATAAAATTTTTATAGCTTTCTTGAAACGTATTTCCTGCCAGTGTTCTCTTGTGTTATTGCATTATTCACTAGATGACAGTTTTTCCAAGACAGAAGAAACTTTTCATGATTAAATCAAATGTTAATTCTAATTATCCATTTAAAATACAGCTTGCATGTTTCAAGGACAAAGTTTAAATCATATAAATAGATTCGACTTAAGTTTGTAAAAGCCAGTTGCCCAGTTTGTGCATTAACTATGATTTTAATGTGTCTTTCATTCTTCTTTGCCCACCTACCTTTTCAACAACCAGCAAATATTGCTGTGACAGAGAGGGAATTACAAGGAAACTCATGTAAAATTCAAATGATTCCCTTTTTCTATTTAATGGCTGTTGTACATAAACATTTCAATTTTTTTTCCTTTGGTAGCTTGAAAATTAAAAATAATTTTATTAGCCAAAGGAATAAATATGGCCTTATTTATCCATATTCATATGAAATATGAAGAACGTCAAACAGTTCTTAGAGTTGTCTTCACCATATCCCTGTGAATAGAAAACAATTGAAATTACCAACCTTTCTTTCCCTGTGTAAAGCACTGGGAATAAAGCTCCAGGAGAATAACCCTAGATAATCTCCCTGGTCATGGAAAGCATGTACTGTAACCAGGGGCCTGTCTGCATCAGGTCAGGCTGCTGCTGTACTCTGATGGCCAGTATTGGTTGAGATGCTAGTGAAAGGCAAGGCATGGCATGCTGAGGCAGGGCCTAGTGCCAGCTTTTCCTCTTGGCTCAGAAGAATTAGGCTGCTTCCTGATGGACTGGGCTTTCTTCTCATAGTAAGTATGGCAGGGATGAAATGTGCCATCATCCCCATCCCCAGGGCTTGGAAAGTCCCCAGCAGGGAGACAGGAAAGTCCCCTTCTTCCCTTTCATCTAGCCTGAGGAAAATAAGGTTAAGCATACTAAAAGAACTCTTGCTTTTCATTTAAAATATATTTATTTTTGAGATGAATAAATTTGGAATGATGCTAGAAATCAAAGAGAACATTGAACATATCATACCTGCTTTGCCTTTTTCTCCAGGTATTCCAAGCAAACCTTTTTCCCCTTTGTCACCTGAATAAAAACAATAGCAACCAAAATAAAATAAAATTAAAGTAAAAGAAGAAAGGAAATAAGGAAGGAAGGAAGGAAAGAAGGAAGGAAGGAAGGAAACAGGGAAGGAAGGAAGGAAAGAAACAAAGAAGGAAGGAAGAAAAAGAAGGAGGACAGAAGGAAGGAAGGAAGGAGGGAGGGAGGTAAGGAGGGAGAAAGGAGTGAATTCACATCTAGAGTCAAAGCAGTTTTAAATTTTATTTGCAATATCTACAACTAATATCTCTAATATCTCTTGGTTTTTATAAATAATATGATTTTCAATTGGTTACACAGGCACAACTAATTAAACGAGTCATAATTTATTTAGATTGAATATAGAATTCCAGCAGGGTTTGTGAGAAGCATTTGAATTTGTGTAACCTATCCTACTAATACTTTTTTAATAACATGGCCCTCTGAACAAGGCTAATACAATTTTCAGCATGTTTTCAATTTTAAAAATACCATTGTTTTGTGAATCTCGATCAATTTGTTAGCACACTGCAGTGTCTTTGTACTTATTATGCCCCAAGTTATTCCAAGGGACTTTGCCCTTGGATTTCCAAAACAAAACAAAACAGAACAACAAACACATGTATTGTGCTTTTTCAATTTAATTAGACAAATATTTACTATTTACTTACTCTATGAAAAACAAAAGACTGGGTACTTTGAAAGGATATACAGAGACATGACTTCAACCTATGACTTGAAGGAGTTTACAATTTTTAGAAGTGAAGTGATGTATGCAAATACTAATAATGCAAAGTCATGTCAAATATATTATACTGAAATAGCAACCTTGGTACTTTCCCTTTCTGTACTTCTTTATATGTAACCATTTTCTCACTCGCAGGTAACCACAAAATAATTCTCAGGGAAGCAGGATTTTTAAAGCAGAGAGAAAGAATAAAACATGTTAATTTTTTTTCAACTTCAAAATAAGCTCTTGAGGCCCACATCAGACGCAATAATTGAAAGCAAAAGCTTTTGATTTTCAGGAAAAAATGTTTGGCTGAGATTCTTAAGAATCAAAAGGGAAGACCCTGACAGAAGTAAAATAGAGTTTATGCTTCAATAGTGATCTGGAAAAAAAGAATAAGAAAGAACTCACGAGGGATGAATACAGGATGAAGGTCACCTAGGCTAGGTGTAGGAATGTGGTGTGGTCGGAGAATTGGTTATATGGCCCAAGGGGACAATGCAAAAGGGAATGGAGTTGGTATTAAGGTTCTGCCAAGCCTCATCCTTCACCAGAAACAGAGAAAAAGTGAAAGCTACTCTAAAACCCGTAGGGTGCCCCATGTTGTGTGCACTGAGGACACCCATTGGCTTTTCTCATCATTGTCTGATGTGTACTTTTCCTTACATAGTTACTCTTATCATTCAGAAGAAGGCATGCCTGCTGGGGCCCCAAGGATTTGCTGAGCCTTTCTAAACTGAGCCATGTGGACCCTTTTCTTTAGAGTTGATGCCGGTCATTCGTGTGTTCCCCAAACAGAAGGTGGGGGTCTTTGAAGGCCAGAATACAACTTACACATGCAGGAGGAAGGCTTGGAACTTGTACTTGGAAGAAACGAGAATATGGTGAAATCTATACCAATGGAACATGATACATGTTGTGAGAAAGACATTGAACAGAGAGATAACATACTCTGAGAGGAAGGCAGAAGAGACAGTGCTTCTAGTGGAAGGGTAAAGGAAAGCTTAGCATTTGAGCTTTGCTATGAAAAGCTTTAGCAACTGAATGAAAGTGGGCACAAGGTCAGGTTCAAGATACAGCAGAGGATGTAGTTGGCCATGAACATATGTCAAACACCCTACTCAGTAATATCAATCTGCTCACACCTTAGTTATATCCTGCAAATCCCTTATTTCTCTTATATGTAAGTTGGAAAAAGTAAGAATAGATTTTGAGATATTAATGGAAGAAAGGGAATATACATTTTACTAAGTACCCATCAACCATCAAGTACTATTCTGGATACCTTACACATATTATCACATTAAATCCTATGAACTAAGTGTTATCATTGTCTTCTTTCTACAACTTGAAGAAATTGAGGATCAGAGAGGCAAAATAACTTGCTTAAGGACATCTAGCCATTAAATGGCAGTGCTCGTATTCCTGCCCAACCATTTCTGACTCCCCTTTCATAGTGCTTCCAAATGAGTTAACCAGTGGTTTAATGAAAAAAAGCAAGGTGTTTGAAAAATGTTATCAAAATTTGCAAAGAATAACAGTCCTCATCACCATCAAAAACATTATGCACTTAAAAGATTGTATGACTATGGGTTTAATGTTTCGATTTTTTAAAACATTATCTTTTCTTCGCATGTGAATACCTTTTAATTCAACATAGATGGAACGTTGATTCCAGTTATGCTATGATCCTAGTTCTGGGCTAAGCTTTATAATGGACATAAAAGAAGCATAAATCGAGTGCCTTGGGCAAATGATGGGCTTTTAAGGAAAGCAAAACACACATAAGAGAACAAAGAGATGAGACACTATCATGTACTAACAGAGTGAAGTAAATGAAAAGCCTGGCAGGAATTCAGAAAAAGAAAAGATGGTGTGGATCAGAGTGGAGAAGACTTCACTGAAGCAGTAGCCTTTAGCTAGAACTTAATAATATAGAAAACAGTTTCTTGAATTGGTATGTGACTGCTTTTTTTGAGAAGATGTAAACTCTGTGACTGCTTTTCAGTATTTTGACATGAATTCTTTTCATTTCATGACAAATGGGAGCACCAAAGCAGTGTGGTGCGATGAAAGATCACGAAAGCTCCCCAAAATCAGGGTTTGAATCCTGGCTTTGCCACTTACCGGCTACACATGGACAGGTTACTTAATTTCTCTAAGCCTCCTTTTCTTTATTTTAAAAGCAGAAATAATTAGCACCTAAAATTATGAGATCATTAAGGAGAATAAATTAGGTATAGTAATGTTTTCTTATAAGGGGATCAGCACTGGGCTTGACTTACAGAGAATGCTCAACCAATGTTAACTTCTGTTTCCTGAATCTGAGTTATGGTAAAGGAATGCATGCCAGGTACTTAGCCAGCTTATGGAAGATTTGAGCTTAGAATATCTACTTCCCCAAAACAAATTATGATTTAAAGTCATCCACAAAAACTGATTTTGGTCCATGAGTGGGACCATGTCTGTAATTACTGTCCGAAAGTTGAAGAATTACAGGTCACATTCAAACAAACAAACAAAAAAATCATAATGCTTTCAGTGTAAATGGATTATTGACCTTAAATAAAAGCATTTATTTTGCTATGAGATGGAATTTACCTATACTAAATCACTATTATTTCTTATTCCTAAAATGAAATATTGACATCTAGAAAGCTACCCTATCCGTGCAAGTGACAATGTTAAGGTCAGCCTAGAAAGTTGAGATTAATCTGAGTCAGTAAAAAATTTAGAAAGGCAATCATAAAAACGAGGACAATAAATTTCGAAGTACAGATTAAAAATGAAATTAATCCAAGCGAGCTGGATCATTGTATCTCCATTTTAAAAAATTCCAGGACATGCTCACAAATTTGATGGCATATCTCTAGAGGAGGAGAAAATCTTAGTAGCTAATGGTGGAAATCGATATTAAGGAAAAGTGGTACTTATAGGAATATGGAGTAGTAAAGAGAGACAAATTGTAAAAAGTAATAAGTTCTATTAGGCAGTTTTTCATGCTTAATTCAACAAACATCGAGAAAGTGTCTACAATATATAATAGGCATTAAGATAAAGTGGTTAAATACTAGGGTCCCAACAGAGCTTATTTTATTTAAACAAACAAACCTAGTGAACTTTTCATTCATTTGTTCTCCCAAGAAGTTCAGAGTCTATGAAGGGAAACAGAGAAGCTAATCAGATATGACAGTGAGTACAGTGATAAAGGTATGTATTAGGTGCTATATACCTGAGCCTTACCGGAGGAATTAGCATGAGGTAAATAAGGTTAGTTAACCCTATCATTTCCAGACTGTTACTTTTTCAACATTTCTGGACATTCATCCACTTTGGGGCTCAGCTAGTCGTACTAAAAACTCTTGAGCCTCTCTTGTCTTCATCATCTACTATGTTCCCAAGTTACGTAGCCTTATTGTATTCAAGGGTTAAGACTGTGCTTAAGATCATTAGCTTTAACTCTTCTAGATGGAATCCCATCAAGACTTACACATCTAAATCCAGGGAAGTGCAAAATCTAGAATGATCATTAAAAAAGAAGTTCTTCAGTTCTGGACTTACTCATGGCAGCGACTTACCCTCTCCCTCCACTTCTGCTATCTCCACAGAGCAATACAAGACATAGATGAGATCTTAATCACATTTAGCATAGCTGCATCTAAAAAATCTTGAAGTCCAACATCCCACTTTCCGGCTATACCTTTCTGTTTCTTTAACCACTAGTTTAAGGAAGTTGATACAGATAGGGACGGATCCATGATGCATTTTATCTGAAGCTTATACAATTTGAAGGGACTTCTTTGAAAAAAGATACAAAATTAAAAATGGAAAAGTGGTTGTAAAAATGAATATCTATCATAAGAAACAAAAACAAACCACTAAATTTTAAAAGTAGACCAATGGCACATTATGAAATTCACTAAACATCATAATATTTTAATCAATAAATGGATTATTGTGCCTTGAAAACACTTTTATTCATAATTATTAGCTATGTATGTTTGGCTGCATTCATATTGCTACTTTATCTGTCCACAAATTTCTAATATCATTTTTAAGAGATGATAGAGGGATAATGTAGTCAGATAATACTCTTTCCCTTAGCACAGTTAACCAAAAATTATTTTATTAAACTTCGCTTACTGAAAAAAAACCACAAAGAAAAGTTTGCCAACACAAAGATTCAGCTTGATGACTTTGTACAGAATAAAATACCCATGTAACCAATACCAAGATCCTCAAGCAGCTGCTTTTGTGTCATCTGCAGATTATTATA